TATTTGTATTACTGCCTTTGGTTCTGAACACAAGAGTGTTGACATTTTTCTAAGAACATAAATTCTTCACTGCATTCTGTGATGTTCTTTCACAGCTGTACAACGGGGGCAATTCTTTTTATCCTCTGCAGTTAGAGTCTCTTTGATGTAAAACTATCGTGTGTTCCTACAGTAATCTTTCACAGACAGAGTCTATACTGTGGCAAAGATCTGTCAGTCTTCAGAATTTGCAGCAATTCCTTCATAACTACACTCACTAGCCACTTTATTAGGTACACCTGTACAACTGTATGTAATTCAATGCAACACTTCTGCCTTAACATCTGTGTTTATGAAGCTTAAAATGTTTCAGTTATTGGTGAAATTGTCAATAAATGTATAAATTAAATTATATGTTTATAACTGAGGTCATAGTTAAAGGTGATGTTGTACTGGATTACATTATATTCAGAGGTGTCTATATTTTTGTCCTCCCCAGCTACATAAATGACAGGGTCAGAAAATTAGGAACACCTCTGAATATAATGTAGCCCAGTACATAGCCACCTTTAACTATGACTGAATGTTGCATTGAAGTGCATACAATTATACAGATGTATCTAATAAAGTGGCTGCTGAGCATACTGTACAGTATATAGATAAAAGCCCCAGAGGTGCTGATGAAAAACCATGGGAGTAAGACTGGCTGAATGACAATAGTCAGTGATAGTCAAGCCAAGTAGATGAAAACAGATTTAATACAGTATATTTATGGTTGCCTTTGAGGCCATAACAAATAAATCAAATTCCACCACAACAACATCACCTCAGTGTGTTAACCTGCCTGCACATCTAATAAGTGAAAAACAAGGCTAAGAGTCTACAGCTGTGCTGGCAGCGCTGTGAGGCTGTGTTCATAGGTAAAGCCACGCTTTTAGTGAAATGCTAACATTTGCAAATTAGCACAAAACTTGATAAGAAGTCAGGAAATCAGAAAAATTATTAGGAATCATTGTCTGAAAATCATAGGTTCTTGTAAAGAATTTCATGGCAATCCATGTAAGAGTTGTTGTGCTATTTGAATATGTAGGTGACAGCAAATGTAATGCAGGTTCAAGCACATAAAGGCTTCAACATCCACAGTAATGTCTCAGAACACAGAGGCAGCTGTGTCAAAGAATGCAAGACGATGTACCAGAGATGTACATCATGTGTGAGGTTTATGTTAAAGAAAAAGTCAGCAGTATTCACTCCTTTTGCTTTCCAGTGGATGTCTGCAGCCTTCATCTACTGCCAGGTTGATTTGTTCCTGTCACTGTGCAGATGTTCTCTTTCCTGGGAGGCAAAGGCAGAATCCTTGCAGTCTGCAAGGAGCTACAATGATAATTTCAATTAAGGGAAATTTATGCTTTTTTTTTTAATGAAAAAATATATTTTTGGATCCAAAGAAAAGCAGTACCAAAGATAAGAAAATGAGCAAACTGCAATTATAAATAAAAATGTATATTTTTTGTGTATGCAGGCACCACATAATCATGGGTCAAAGATATCCTGCTGTAGTAAACCTAGACACAGATAACTCAGATACAGTATTCAACCTGAGCTCAGTGGTGTAGATTCCCACAGCTGTGGGAATGCTATGGGTTACATTAGTATGCACTCCATGGCTTTCAATTGCCTTATTTTTATGTTAGGCAAACTATCTCCATGACAGCAACAGACAATAAAACTATCATTGTATTCACCTGCACTCTAAAGGATTATTGTCATCATTCAGAGGTACAAATTATGAATTTCCACTTTCTGAGATGAATGCTCACCCATTCACAAACTAGTCAAGCAATTCGAACTATTGTCAAAGCCACAGCAAATGTTCAGTAAAGTGCTTTCAAATTGATGAAAAGCATCCAGTATACAGAAGAAAACCATTTATGATTACAGTACAATGTCAGAGTTTAAAGACTAGATGAGAAGGTTGGATATAATTTGACATAGAGACTTTATTTGAATTAAGTAACATCACACAAAAAAGCTAATTACTAACAGCTGGATAATCACCTACATACACATTTAAAACTGTTTTTGTATGTGTGCATGTGTGTGTGAGAGAAAAAGAGAAAGAGAAACAAGAGACATAGGGACACAAAAAACACGTGCATCTGCCAGATGTAAGGATCATTAGTGTAAACAATGTAATAATGTAATGTAAGACACAAAAGCAAGCATAACATCTCAGAAAACCATATATAACAAATGCCAAACAAAATGTGCTCATGCTTTATTAACCTGGCTCTTTCTATGACACCAAGACTCACACACACTTTCCATACTAAGAATATACAAATGCAAACCAGATGCTAACGCTAAGAGATACAGTAACACATCTCTCCTTTCTGCCAAGTCAAAGACAGAGAATAGCAGCTGTAAAAGCAATCATAATAGATATGAATCTGCTCTGTCATAAGGGCTGTAAACCTGATGAACCTCCTCCCTCTGGAGCAGACACCAGAACGGAAAACTGCACATTCCAAACCACAAATAAACACGTAAATCCTTACAACGTCATAGCAACACAAACAAGCGTCATAGCAGCACAAACAGCATTGTGGAAAGCAGCCAAGGAAATAACACTGAATATATTTCACAGATTATTTTCTGTTAATTTTCACTGTTTCAGAAAGTACAACTGTTGCAATAAGCGCTGTTTCATTAGCATTTATCTATGGACAGTTGACAATCTCAGGCCAACCCTGAAGAGTGCTTGCCATAGCGCATATTTGTTACCATAGACAGAGAAACAACACTTTCAGATGCTTTTGTCTGTAGCTTTGCCTGAAGAAAAAAATGACTCATATACAGTATCAATGCAGTAAATGCACGAGGGACATGTACACAGATATACATATACTCAAAACACACTTAAGGCAAGGGTGGCCTATGAGTAAATTGAAATGTGCTCTTTATAAGCTTCTATAACTCTTCATCCCATATGAGCCTAGTGCCTGAACAAGCTGCTCATAAACATGACAAGTTACTATATGTCACTGAAACACAAGATCATCTCTTTCCTTTACAGACCATCACTAAGCAAATATACAAGAGAATATCAGAACTTATATTAACACCTGATTTCAGTACAATTCAGAATAATATGTCTATATTAACAATGACACAGATGAGCAGGTACAGTATGTGCACAGAAATGAAGCGGATATGAGTCATATTTGCATCATGCTGAAGGTGTGTCATTGATATTCACAGTAAGATGACTGCACTAGTGTAAAACCTACCCAAGAAACAGTAAAATTCAACACTAATGAGACAGTACCTAGATATTTAACTCTCAGATGACAGTCTTCACGTTCCACAATATTTTTTCCACAGTGCACATGATTATGTTAATATTAGAGTTGAAATCTCTAACAAATCTTTATTATATTATAACCTTGAAGACCATATTAAAGCACAACTCACTCTGCAACTTGCTGCACATGTGCACAACAGCTGTCAGTGCTGCTCATTTTGCTGACTTCATAACAAAAATGCTTGTGACAGCCTTAAAAAGGCTGCTTTGTTTTCAAGAGACAATGAAACCTTTGTTGTGTCAGACATTATCTCCTCTCTTTGTAAGCAAATAAATATAATGTACAAGCAAATATATTGTAGAAGTGATTAAATGTCAAAGCTAGATTGCCAATTTGATAAAGCTGACAACTATCTTAGGGCTCCAGGTTAAGCCCACCATGCAAAAGACAAAGTAAGTTTAGAATCAATCTTCTTTATTATGTCAGTGATAAAGAATAATAATGATTATTATAATAAAAATTCCTTTTCTATACATACTCCAGCTTCCTCTCACAGTCCAAAGACATGCAGCTTAAGTTGACTGGCAACTCTAAATTGCCCATAGAAGTGAGTGTGGGTGTCTGTGGTTTTTTGTCTTTAGGTGCCACCCCTGTAATAGACTGGCAGCCAGGGTGTACCCTGCCTCTCACCCACTGTCAGCTGGGATTGGCTCCAGCCCCCTGCGACCCCCTTTAGGATAGGTGGTATAGATAATGGATGGATGGATGGATAATAAAAATTCTACTTGAAAACTACAAATACCATCTCCTGTACTGATATGGTGAAAGTAATACTAACTAATCACGCTGCCAACAGTTACAGTTCAGTAGGGAATCTGCATACCTCACATTGCCAGGGCATTCAGGCAAGAAGTTTTATTTGCCATCCAGATAACCAAACATTTTTTGTATAACCTTACTACTACTTAGTGGATTTGTCAAGAATGCACTGGCCTGCCCATGCAGGCAAATTTTCTCCTCAAATATCAGCTTTGCTCACATCT